AAGCTGGGTAGATTCAGACTAGATTTAAGGAAGACATTTTTTTACAATGAGCGTGGTGAAGCACTAGAACAGGTTGCCCAGAGAGGTGGTAGATGTCCTGTCCCTGGAAACACCCAAGGTCAGGTTGGATGGGTCTCTGAGCAACTTGATCTAGTTGAAGATGTCTCTGCTTATTGCAGGGGAGTTGGACTAGTTGATGTTTGAAAGTCCCTTCCAACACAAACCATTCTATGATTCCATTATTTAACTAGCTCCAGCTGTAAATCAGTACAAATAAATGGGGATTCATTTTGCCTTTGTTATTTCACTTTTAGAGCCAGTCCTCATGAGATGATTAGTTTTTTATGCAAGTACAGGACATCCGAAGCTCTTGCTGATTCAAGGAAGCACTCCTCTTTACCATTTTGGAAGGCACAGACCCTTAATGCTTGTCAGCTTGTCGTTGCAGCAGCAGCAGCAGACTGCTAAAGCCCACTAGCACCTGGCTTACTAATAGCCTTCTATTTGTGTGTCTCTCTATCATTTTGGACCATCTGAACCATGCTGCCTTCTGTACGTTTTATCTCATTCAGAGAGTTTGGAAATGCTATGTTTCAGTAAAGTTTGCCTTTCCATTCTAAGGACTTGAGAGCCGCCTAGTGGAGATCTCTGTCTGAATCCCAAAATTCAGTGAAGGTTCCTCTGTATCACAGTATATTACATTCCTTACTGGTATCACTCCCGACGCTGTTCTTAATAGCTGAACACCACATAAGGACAGCAACTTGATTTCGTATGTTTGGCTTTTTTAAAGAAATGTGAATTATTTTCTAAGACATAAAACTGAAAGTGGTTTTTAAAAATAAGGCGGAATTGGAATTAAGTGCTGATTTCTCACTATGAAAAAAATCTTTTCTAATCTCACAGATCTCAGTATTAGACAACCTCATCAGGTCGCGGCCAGTACTAACAAGGAACTTAATTCTGTAGACCCAAGTCCAAACAAAATTGGAAAATACACAAGATAATGATACACTATATATTATTAATACAAAACATCATTATGGTTCATCAGCACCAAAAGCTACCAAGCCATAAACTACACAAATTTGCAATTGCAAAAAAAATCCCATTATTTCCGTTATCTCTTTACCTCTTCTTTTGCCTATAACACATTTTATTAACAATCCTGAGATGCAAAAGCACGAACCACACACGCACGGATGTATCACTGATGCATCAGGCTGAGTAGCAGTTACTCTAATGCACGTATGTATAAAGTCAGTAATGGAGAAAGCTGTAAATCAGACTATGTCTCTGATGTTGTGTTTTCATCTACTTGCTATTGCTTTACACACAGAGGTTAATTAAAGACTAAAACCAAAATCAACCTTGTTTTAATCTAGTCTGGATTTCAGGAGTAAAATCTGATGTATATGTGTATATGTATTACTTAGATCTAAGCAACAGCAGTGTGGGCTTACCACCTTTCTCAGGGTTGTAATAGCATAGTGCATGGCATTAGGAGAGCATTCATCGCTCAGCAAAAGCCAAGGAAGAAGGGTAAGGGAGCTTGGGAGTCAGGGATGTTTCCAAAGCTCAGAAAGAAAAATGTCAGGCTGGGTTTATAGAGCCCACTGGGAGTCTATTAGTGTCACCGGCATTGTCAGACACAGCAATGACACAATGTGGTTTACGTGTTATGGCTCTGGTGGGACAACAAACATTTCTTGTTATTGCTGTCAGGAATTAAGCAACGCCTACATGAAGCCACAGTGGGCCTGGAGACAACTCAAAGAACGGAGGAAGATTTGGAACAGGAATCTACAACACTGATGTGGAAGAGCTGGAGATCTGCAACAAATCAGAGAAACTCGTCTCAGAGAAGGAAGTGCCATGAACAATAATCTCAAGATCTCCATGGCAGAGATCATATCTTATGATAGAAAAGAGTTCTCCATCATGAGTGTGATGGAGAGAAATGAGTTTCTGTGAAGAAGAAAGCTTACAGTTTACACACATTCTTCTTGACTGTAACAGAATTTCCAGGTACAATTGAGTGCCACAAACCACTGCAAAGAGACCAACATTGTGGCACTGCTCTGGTTTTACCAACTGAAATGCCAGAAAGGAACTGACTTAAAAAAAACCTAACAAAATGTAGCATGAAATGGTATAATATTAAAATAATATCTTAAAGAAATGTATTTTTTTTCCCCAAATCTAGTATCCAGTCTGAATCGATTTCAACATCACTTCTAAAACATAGAAAACTCCTCTAGCATCTGACATCAAAACCACAAGCACAGATGAGGAGCTGAAAATGCCTATTTTTTATTTGGAAACCTCAAACAGCTATCAGAACACAGACACCAAATGGTAAAAAAGTGCAACAAGTGAGCAAAGAAGCAGCATTGACAAGAAAAGAATACCATCTTACCCAGAGAAAGAAAACAAGAAGAATGAAAAGGCATATATGTTTACATCCTTTTAGAGGTTTGTCTGTCAAATCAAAATAGTAATAAGAAACCTATTCCAGGAGTAGTTCACAAGAGAAAAAGTATTCCTTGAGATAAGAACAATCTTTCTGCACTCTTAGTTTGTAACATCCTGTGCACTACAATTAATGTCTTCCCAGGCATGCCAAGCAAACCTGTTTTAAATCACTATCATAAATATATATTTATTTATTACATATACAACTAATATGTAGCTGAAAAAAAAAGCCTATGCATACACATATATCTAGGCAAAACAGAATGGGAGAGCATATAACAACTAAAGGAAAAAAAAAAAAAAAACCCACACCAAAGCTCATCTCTTAATCAGGTGCTATAGCATGTTTTCCCAGAATAATGCATCTGACATGGACATCACAGCCATTTATCATAAGATAAATGTGTTTAGTAAGTACATGAATGTCTCATTAAAAGGAATCCATGGAAGCTTCTGATTGGTCTTTCAGCTGCTGGTATTTCTGAGAAATGATGGAACAATACTACAAAATCCGGCTTCTTATACAGCATGCTTAAGCTTATACAGGATGTTTAGCAGTTCAAGATACTTTGCTTTCTAGACAACTTGTCCTTGTTTTAAGATGAAGGAAAAATTATATATTTATCTTCTGAGTTTTAAGTATACTTTCTTGATAGTAAATTTCTAATATTTTGCTTAGGGTATTTTATTTGCTCAGGTGGTCTGGATTCAAACAGAATAAGGTTGTTCTGAAACTGATAAATGGTGATGTTCAAGTGAAGTCTGATTAATTGTCCGTGATTATCAAAAATTCAGACAGAACCTGTAACACCCTTTCTAAGAAAAATCTTTCAGCAAGTTCTGCTATGACTGATGCTCTAACATAATCCAATAAAAATCTCCAAAGAGGCTACTGACTTATTACAGAGGGAAACCCAGACTCCAGACTGTAATGAAAAATAATATTAAAAGTCATAAAGTTAAGATACTACTTCATATTACCTTAAAATAGGGCTTACAGACATAACTTGCGTCAAGCATGTTCCAAACTGCAAGCAAACCATTATAGGCTTGTTTTATAGAGAAGTATGATTTCTCCCTAAGCTAAATGAAGAAATTAACCTATTGAATCACACAGTCTTCATCTCCTGATTATTGTGATAGACATACTAAACTCAGAGAACAACTCTGAAGGATTACAGGTTCAGCTAGGAAGTTAGAAAAGAGAATGTTTTTGTGTTCTTCCCCAGCGTTGAAGTTGATTATTTTGTGGAAAAGACGACAGCACACTTTGTCAAGATGTCCCATAGGACATAATCAAGAAAGACTATACACTTACTAGGGTGTCTATTCTCAGTGCATAATCCTTCAAGGATCCAAGCAGGCAAGCTTTCCATCCTCCCAGTCAGTTCTGGAGTAAAATGAAATGACACTGGAGTGGAGAATTAAGTATTAGCCTCTCTGTGCATCATTGACTTTGCCTGTAAATAGGAACTGGCAAGTTGTTTACACCTCTTAGGATAAAGCAATATTAAAAGAAAAAATACTTCTCTATGCACGTCTGTGAAATTTGCCTGTAAAGCACACATAACTGTACCTTGCAACAGTCAAGCAAATGGAGGTAAAAATCTGCCTGCTGTGACACTTTCTCATGAATTCTGTCACGAGTCATGCTTACACAGAAGACACAAAGAATAGGAAAGCTGTGTAAATGTGAGGGGAAAACTGTAGAAACTGTCACGAGTCATGCTTACACAGAAGACAGAAAGAATAGGAAAGCTGTGTAAATGTGAGGGGAAAACTGTAGAAAAAGAAATAGGGGAAAAAAAAAGGAAGAGGTGGAGAATTCTGAGAAACAGACATCCAGTTTGGCTTCAGATACAAAGGGAGCTTTCTAACATCCTAACACATGGTTTCCTAGCAAATATAACGTTAGCCATAGCCACTTACATTTCCAGACAAGGCATTCAGTCACAGAAATCATAAAAATAAAAAAATCGCCTCAAATGCAATATACTCATGTCAGTTAATAATAATTAATTTTTAAGTCATCCTAAGTAGAATTATTTTTGTGAAAGAAGAGACCTATCAAGGACTCCATTAAATTGACACAGAACTGTGTTAAGGATATTGATTTTACCTAGAAAAGTACTGACAATAGAAGAGGGGAAGGAAAAAGATATTTTTTTTAATTATTTTATCTATGGTTTTCAGTCCTACTGTAAATAGGGTGAATACTGGAAGTGAAAACAATTGCTTTAGATTGTTTTACAGTAATAGCTGTGGTTGTGGAAATAGCTACAGACATGCATTAGGTCTTCCTGTGAAAGAATGACCAGTGCTCCACTGACTTTGAATCTATGCTGACTTACACCAAGTACATGCTGCGCAGTGTTGGTCACACAGGAAAGCAGATGGGAGGAGAAAGGAGGCAAAATAACTTATTTTTATTTGTATTTAATAAAATTTGGCCTATGGGCTTTATGTGACTCAGTACTGAACATCTGGGATTGATCACAGGATCACATACTGGAAAGCAGTCATCTGGCTTCTAGAAATAAACACATTCAGTTCTTCTGCCACAACCTTATTTTTTTAGTGATAAACTGCAACAGCCTTTTAAAGTCTTTTTAATACTTGCAGCCACAGTATTTTTAACTTTTTTTTTGTGATTTTTAGTATGACTTTTTCACATCATGACATCAGACAACTGTTAAATTTCATTTAATTCTGGACTGGCAGTAGTGTTTGGGATTGCCCTCCACACGCACACACACATACACAATTAATTCGCTACTATTTTGTTTCAAAATTTTATGAAACAATGGTAGTTTTGAAACTCCAATTTTTATCAGTTCTCTTCCTCACAAGCATCATGGGAGCGGCACAATATACGATGCAAGATGCAGCTCTGATGAACTACATTGACCGGCGTTTCCTAGCTTTAGAGGTACGTGCTTTCTGTATCGTTCTGTACTGCTGCCTAACTGCACAGGGGTTTGAAAATGGGTGAATGCTCTTCTTTGTCTGTGAGCACAGACTCCATTTTTTTTCAAATAAATAAGTAAAATTGCAGCTAAACCTTTAACAATAATGATTCCTAATCACCTACATTAATTATTGTGGGATATAATTTCAGAATGTTATTTTTATTCTGTTACTGCTTGTATATTTTTATGACATCAGGGAATTTAGCTAAACATGCAAATGCTTATTGTACTGTCACAGTCCATCCTAGGGAACTGTATGACCATATTGTCACCAGTAGAAGTGCTGTCAAGTATTAACAAGGAGATAAAAATTTACAAGGCATTTTTTCTATGTACAGATGAAGTTACCTGGAAGAACAGTTTAAGACAAATTTGTGTAAAGTAGTAGTGCATCTGCATTTTAACTAGGAGTTGAAATTATCCCCTTACAGGTGGGAGACTGAAATAGGTATTTGCTTTCAATTAATTATATAAAAGTACCAGTACTTGCTTCTTTTTCTGCAGTAAAAACTACCAGTTCTGTAAAATACCTTTTTCAGTATGGACATGCTGTAATCGTCCATAGTTTGTCTTATATCATTAACATGTCCTTGGCTCCTGACTGGCACGGGTGGACTTTTAGAGAAGCTTTAACTTCTCTGATCTCGCATTCCCTTTTTGTAGAAAGCTCTCACTGGTCTTAACTTCATAACACAGAAAGAACCGAAGGATTAGCCTGGTATTCTGTTCCCATTGTGTAGACTGAGATTTAAATTTTATTAACCACTATAGGAATAACTTCACATGGTAATTTCCATTCATTTGGCACACATTAAAAATGACATAATTCCATCTGTGGCATTTGGTGCAAGGGGCACCAAATAAAGAACAGGAAATTGGGCGATATTCAAGAGAATACTTGAAAACATTTAAAATAAAGTTTTTTCAGAAAGTAATTAAACAACTTTCTAGGGACTTATGGCACATATAAATGGGGAGAGAGGGGCACACACAAAAACCACAACTCACAAAACAAACCACCAAGTTTACATGGAACATATGTATACTGTACTAATGATTCAGTAAACTCAGACATTCCCTTGTCAAACATCAGCTTAAAACAAAACAACTAAAATTTGTGCATAAAACGCCAAATCAGAACACGCAATCTGGCCATTAGATCTCCTGTGATTGTGTGCTTGGGATTAAATACTGGCTCAATTTCCTTACCTTCCCAAAGTAGCAGTTGGGCTTCTGTTTTCAGGACACCTATGATCTTTAGATAAGCAGCTACATTATAACAGAGAAATCAATTTCCTCACCTTTAAAATGTTGATAATTTGAATCTAGAAACATTTGTTTTTTTTAAATACCTCCATATTTTCAGGACACCTATGATCTTTAGAGAAGCAGCTACATTACAACAGAGAAATCAATCTCCTCACCTTTAAAAATGTTGATAATTTGAATCTAGAAACATCTGTGTTTTTTTTAAATACCTCCAACAATTTGGAAAACCCCCCAAAACTTCTCAAACATAGAGATGTCAATATTTGCATTTTCTATTTCAAATGGATGAAAAATAGCCACACTAGATACTGTCCTGGTCAGAAGAGGTGTATTTATGTGAAATATTCATATTTGTAGATTTTTTGCAGAAAACTTTTTAAGGCTGCTTCACTGGTGGTCCTGCAGGAGGAGTTCTGATAAGTTTCTGGGAAGCAAGTAATCAGAGATCACGTGCCTTTAAGTATCTCTGGCTGTTTCCCCAGAGCACTCCTCTCTCTTTAGGCAGCAAAAAGTATCTGGTTGTCAGTAACCACATCAAGAAAAAAAAAAAAGAAGTGTATTTTTGTCCAGAACTGTGAATGCTAGTGCCAGTCTAACATGTCCTCTTCATGTAGATATACAGCAACAGACAATCAGTTTGAAATAGATGGGGGGCAAGGGGACTAGAAAGGAGAGAATAGCACAGTTTTTAAAATAATCATGAATGAGGTTGTAATCTATACAGAATATACACATATATCCATGTATTTTCTTTCTGTGCTCTAACTCAAGAAGAGGCTGGAAAGATGCAACCAAGACATACTGGATTATGTGGAAGAATTCCGAGACTTTTCAAAGATGGTACTGTCACGCCTGGCAGGACTGAACAATTATAAGGCTGAGGTTAAAAATGAAGTAGAGAATTTGCTAACAAGAATTGAACGAGCACAAAGGGACATTGACTATTTTGGATCTGTCACAGATTCTAATACATGTATAGAAGTACATGAAGACCTGGTGAAACAGCAGCTACTGGAAGAAGCAGAAGAACAAAAGAAACTTAAACTCATGCTTAATGCAAGTAAGAACAGTTTATTTTTCAGAAATTTGATCTGAATGAGACAGTCTCCTTGCCAATGCATGTATGCTGATATGGGGATAACAGATTTTCAGGAGTTATGTGAATACCACAGATAATTGCATGGGGTTTTGGCTGTGTCAATAGTAGACTTAAAACAAAAACAACAACAAAAAAAACAAACTACAAAAAAGATATGGGAGAGGGAGGCAAAAACAACAAGAAAAAAAACCAAACTACAAAAAAGATATGGGAGAGGGAGGGAAGAAAGCCCAATTCAAATGTTTATTTTGCAGATACTCTACTGCATATCAAATTGATTCTTTGGAAGCTGCTTTTTATTATAAAGTAAAAAGCCTCTGAAGGTCTGCTCTGGCAAAGTCCTAGAAAAAATGCCAGTGCACTTCCGAGTATAGCAGCTATACCAAGGAATTAATGGTGGTCTTTGTTTTTTGTAGTGGGCAGGGGTCAAAACCTCAACTGAAAAGTGAACTCAGAAGTTAATAAAAAGACTTAACTCACTTCTACAATTTGCACCTCTTTTACTGTCCTCCTCTGTTATTTTTTTCTCCCCCTCTCCTCTCCATGCACTTTATCAAGAGAGCACACTGGCTTAGGTTCAAGCAAAGCTCAGTTCTGATTTTAAAATTAAGTGTCATGGTACCTAGTGTGAATAATATATGCACAATCTGTACCTTTTTTTTAAACAAGTTAAGTTTTATAATTATAAATATCTTTACCTTAAGAAAGTTGAGTTATAGATGTAAATTACGTGTTGTAGATATATTTGAATTATACTTTCAAAACAAATTAAGTTTTAAAATTATAAATATCTTTTCCTTAAGAAAGTTGAGTTATAGATGTAAATTACGTGTTGTAGATATATTTGAATTATACTTTCATTTTCCTTCAACAGTAGTAAGAAAAAAATAAACAATAAGAAATATAAACTGCTTTCTTTTTTAAAAGGCAGATGAAAGATCTTTAACCTCATCAATTATACATTTCCAGTAACTTAAACAGAATTAGACTGTTTTTAGATTACAGATAAATTCACAATTTGATCGCTGAACTTTTCCAGCAAAGCAGTATTAAGGCAGATGGCAACAGAGGCAATCACCTATTCTGCTTCTAAACTCTAATCCAACACCACAATTGAGTGCTCCAAATATCAAGATCTCTCTTTTCCATATATAGATTTTTTTGAACATAAGGGATTTTTTTGAGAGTCAGAAAAATTTAGGGATTTTTAAACTGACTCTGGTCAGGACACTTTGAAAATTATATGCTTATGAGAGTTTCAGAGGGGAAAAAATTACTTTCTATTTTTCCCTTGTTGGAAATTATTACTTTTAATTTTATTGCAGCAGTTCATGGCAACTTCACTTTTGTCAGTACTAGTCAGATACTTGTCCCATTGAAGTTGATAGCAAAACTAGTCCCTGTGTAGATTTTACAGCACTTGGGAAAAGTAGCAAGACCCTCAACTCCAGCAAATAGCAGCTCTGCTTCTATGCTTTCATATTATTTTTACTGAGTCACTCCAAAACTCTAGAAAAAAAAAGTGGGGGTTTAAGTCCAACTTTGTTAGTTAGTTTTGTTCAAGTTCACACAGACTTGAAAATAACAGTCAAGAAGAATCACTGTTTTCACACATGCAGTAGTTGATACCTCATCCCACTTTGGGTGGGAAACTGGAAATTATCTTCTGCACATTTTGGGATATGATAAAGAGTGGGCTTTGAAGGCATCATTGGGGAGAATGCGGAAAAAATTTGGTAAATTTTTTGCTCACTGTGAATGTCTCAGTTTCTCAGTCTTCCTGCAGGCTGCTATGAAAGTCAAGAAGAGTCAAAAAGCTTCTCTCAAGAAGACAGATGGAATTAAAAGATTTTAGATAGTAATCTGGTTATTTCTTCTGCATCTTCTATGCTTTCATATTATTTTTACTGAGTCACTCCAAAACTCTAGAAAAAAAAAGTGGGGGTTTAAGTCCAACTTTGTTAGTTAGTTTTGTTCAAGTTCACACAGACTTGAAAATAACAGTCAAGAAGAATCACTGTTTTCACACATGCAGTAGTTGATACCTCATCCCACTTTGGGTGGGAAACTGGAAATTATCTTCTGCACATTTTGGGATATGATAAAGAGTGGGCTTTGAAGGCATCATTGGGGAGAATGCGGAAAAAATTTGGTAAATTTTTTGCTCACTGTGAATGTCTCAGTTTCTCAGTCTTCCTGCAGGCTGCTATGAAAGTCAAGAAGAGTCAAAAAGCTTCTCTCAAGAAGACAGATGGAATTAAAAGATTTTAGATAGTAATCTGGTTATTTCTTCTGCAACATCTTTTGCTAAAGCTGCCTAGGTATTTTTACTCAACAGTTCTAAGTTTCTAGAATCTATCTAATCAATAAACATTAATTTTGGGAAAGCTATTGTGGCTTGCTCAGGGAAGGTGCACCAGAATGAGGATTTCCAACCAAAAAAATCAAATCCATGCTATAGCAGCAATATCCAAATGCTTTGGTTAGAGAGTCTCAGTACACACGAATGACGTAAACGTTGCTTTCTACAGGCAACTGGAATCTTGCCACTGACTTCAACAGGTTCATATCAGGCCAAATAGAGAGGCTGGTTTTGTTTCTCCATTTCATCCAGCGCCAGAACTTCCTGCCTTAGGGCTTTGTTTGCTCTGCTTACTAAAACGGCTGCACTTCACTAAAGGCAATTCTTTCAACTTCAAATACTGTCTGTGCTAATTTATGAGTGCCTTTGGTAAACAAGTTTGTGAATATGCTTTGCAGTAGAGTTTTTCCTGGAAAGGATGGTCCTTGATAAAGATCTTAGTTTCTAAATGCCTGAGTCTTAACAAGCTTGGTGCTTTTTGGTCTTAAATATCTGTGAAAAGTGCATAAAAAATGTAATGAAGCCAAAACTACGACTTGCTCTCCGATGGTGCCAATTTTATCCCTATAGTAAGGTAAACAACTGTGTAATTCCACCAGCCATGCTTCCAGTATAAGAACTGGTAGCACAGACATTGTACCAGTTTATTTAAAGGCCACCTTAATGTAATGTGCTCTTGCTCTCCTCTCAGGTACACAAATAGAATCCCTTTTGATAACACTGGTCTAAAAGACCAGAAAACAATACACTATGAGTAGCTGAAGATATGCAGTATCCTTAGCAGGAGATGTTGAATATGTCTTATAAAATTAGCTTCAACACTACTTACTATAGCCATATTGCTGACACCTTTACTGATATATCGACCTTGGCCTTATAGTTGGCTTAAAAGGAAACTAAGTAACTCAAAGAAAGGAAACTAGAAAATTCACAGCTATTCTAATTTATTTATTTTTTTTGTCTTTCGGTGTTTTCTTGCAGGTTGTGACCACATGCTTGTGGGTATTAAGTCCATAAAGGTAGTTAAGAAGACTGGAGATAAGCATGGCTCTTGGATGAAAGATCCTGGCAAAAAGCATACAAAGATTTATTTATTGAATGGTTCTGTAAATGATGTTATTTTTGAATTTTCAAATATCATGACATTCATGGAAAGTAATCATACACTAAAGGCTCGCAGAGTCACCTTGCCATTTCCCTGGGAAGGAACTGGTCACATCATATATCAGGGTTTCCTGTTCTATCACAAATATGGCTCCTTAAATGAGATAATTAAATTCAATATCCAGAAAAGAAATATAAGTGACCAAATGCTACTGCCAGGGGCTGGAAGGATTCCTGCTTATCAGCTTTCTCCATCTACAAAAATAGATCTTGCCATTGATGAACAAGGACTCTGGGCAATCCATGCAGAACCAGAGACTGGAGGAAAAATTGTAATTACTAAAATCAACCACGTAACCATGGCAGTGGAGCACACTTGGGACACCTCATGCAATAGCAAGGATGCTGAAGCAGCTTTCATGGCATGCAACACGCTCTATGTTGTCTACAACTCTCCTAGCGGAGGCACCTCTCGCATACAATGTGTTTATGATGTGTTGGGTGCTGTAAATACTTATGAAATCCCAGTATTGCATTTTCCAAAACGTCAGGGTAGCCATTCCACCATACACTACAATCCTAAAGAAAAGCAACTTTTTGCTTGGGGTGATGGATCCCAGATCATTTACAAGCTTCACACAAAGCAAAAAGTCTAGAATCTTTAGCAACTTTTCAAATACACTTAAAACCTATCAGTCCCACGTCAACTTGATCAATAAAGCATATTAAAAGTACACTATTCCCATTTGTAACACCTTTCGTTTATTTTACATAAATTTAGACTTACATACCCCAGTGATCTTAAACTAATGTCCAAAAAAGAATATGTAAAGACTCTGTTACTATGAATTATATGGTGATTAAATACCACACATGTGCAACTCACACACACAAATCAAAGACTAAGGATAAGTAAAAGAAAAATAATCCATGTCTGACATGTTCTCTTCCTATCAAAACTATGTATTCTGCTTCAGTGTCACGGAAGTCAAAAGTCCTTCCTGTCCAATACACATTATCTGACAATCTTCACTACCTTGAAGCTCACTGTAGGAAGCAGTTTTGTGAGCACTATAAAATCACATGCTTCCAGAGAAATTATCTGTAAGTTTTAACAGGAGAGGTTTATTATATCACAAAGCATAGGAGTATAAAAATAAACCACGTTTGTGAGGTTGTAACATTCTTGCGCATTACACCAAGGCTATTCCTAATCACTGAACCTCTAGACTATTTCCATGAAATTTCCACACTTTTGTTATGCACATAACTGTACAGTCTATTTTTGATCCTGCTAATATATTTGCTACAGCTAAATATCCACTTTTATCAGCTTCAATTTCCCACCTTCCAATTTTTTTCAGTGGACCACTGCTTGTGTGTCAGAAGGAATGCTCCTAGATGATCTGTTCTGTACCACACAGTATTTTTTAAGTCTTTTACATATCACTCTAATTGTTTCCTTTCTTATTAGCCCTCTATCAGCCTCTAGTTGTGAGGCATTTTCTCAATACTTCAAATATCTTCCATTGCTCATCGCAGAATCTTTTCTATCTTATTCTCTGACTCCAGCAAAATACACGTACAGAAAAGGTGACCCCGATGACCACAATAGTGCAAGTGAGGGCATGCCACTGGCCTGTCCTCGTTTTGTGACTAACAGATAAAATCCAGGTAAATACTAACATATTTTTGTTTCAAAAACAATATTAAAAGACCCAAACAAACCTTAGACTTTTACTTGTGAAATATAGGTACTAGCTGTAGGTTTTGGATTTTAATGAAAGCTGCGTTTTGGTTTAATAAACCCAAAAAAAACCCAAAACACAAAAAATTGTGCTTGAAATGCAATCCACAGCTGTTTCTACAGAAAGCCCATTTTGTTCTTTACACTGAAAGAGCTGTTGTTCTGTTTAAAAATAGCTTCGACAGAATAGCCAAACATCAGGGAATGATTTTGAAAAGGAGTTCCAGAATACAACAAAGACGTCTGGACTGCTGAGATGCAACATGCTCCTCTGCTTTTTGCAAGAAAAACTGTAATGTTCTAAGCAGCCTTCATGACTGCAGCATTACTTCTGTGCTACAGAAGCCATGGGAAGCACAGTTAAAGACATCCTCAGGCTGAAAGTAAGGTGAGCTGGCACTGAGTTCCTGTGTGACCGTTGGTCAAAGGGAGATTCAAATATTATTATTCACTTTTATTCCTCACTTTTAACGTTACAGTTAAATACAAAATGGTATTAGCCACCTTTGGAATCCTTTGAGATCTTTTGCTGCAAAATGATGTGTAATTTTCTTTACTTAATAAATAAATGCTTTTGATGTAAATATGGATTGAGTCTGCTTTTTAGAAAAGGCACTCTTGGAATATGCGATGCACCACACTATTACACAACAGAGAAAGCCTACGTTATTATTCCATATGGAGATTACAATGAGCAATCCCCAGAAGTTCAGGCAGGGTCCTTTCTGAACCTTGCTGCCCTGGAAATCCAAGCTTCATAATGAATTAAAAGGTACTACCTATTTTTGATAAAAGGAGAAAGTTTTGTACAGATGACTGTCACTAGGTTATCTCATAACAGAGAATGCAAAAGAAATGAAAACAAATAAAACAGAATAACAAAATTTTCCCAAATCTCAAAATTAAAGTTGAGTTACAAGGAGGGTCAAATTTTCAAGCCTTCTGGTTTCAAGGATGTATATGAACAATCAAACAACTTGAAGAGCTAGAATTCCCAGATGTTAATCCTGATACTGATTTGTGGACAAACCATTTGTTTGTCAATCACAATCATAAGAGAACAAGGACAAGGCTGCGATAAAGCTCCCTCTCTTCTTGCAAACCATTTGTGCGCAATCATAAGAGAACACGGACAACAAGGCTGCGATAAAGCTCCCTCTCTTCTTCACTGATGTCAGTTACCTTGTCCTTTTTCTGCTTTGTCATGATTACCCTTTCTCATGGTAAGATCAGACAGCAGGTTTCATTCACAGATACTCCTCATCTTGCATGCCCTCCATTCTTTGTGCCAGCTCTTCGACAAAGGGCTGGTTCAGGTCAGGATAATCTACAAGGATTATGATTTAGCCAAACATTTTCCAGTGTTAGATGTGCAAATATAGGTGCTGTGCACACACATATGTAGCCTTAAAAAATTTCTATAATCTAGGGATTACTTAGTCCTGCTATTCTCACTGACAGCATAACCCATGATATTAATTTGTCTTGGGGTTAATTATTTCAAAATACCTATAAAAGACTCTCTTCTTTTAAACTCCTTTTAAAATAATTTTGAACAAGTAGAATCTTTATGTGGAAAAGGTTAAACATGTAAGTGTTTGTGTTTACTACAGATAACCATCTGCTTTTCCTTTTTCCATTGAGCTGACTTTTCCCTGGGATCAATCCATGCAGTGAGTCAATCTGTACCCTATGATTACAAGACTGGGTCTTTTGTTTCTCCTTTTTGAATAGTTTCTTAAGAGTAGGGGAAGAAAGGAAAAAATATCTGTAGAGGATGTTTTGTAATTTGATACACATTAAGAAGTATCTCAAAAAGTAAATATTTTTTAAGTGGTTAATGAACTGCTTTTGTATTTCCCAGTACTGCCTTCATCTAACTAAAGACAGTCTGAAAGATCCCATATGGGAGCAGCTGTAGAAATGCCCATTGTAGGATGTGTAGTGACTGTATTTGCCTGTAAAGAAAAATACACCTTTGTTTCTGACTTGTTTACCTAAACTTCTAGAAGTAGAAAATTTAGTGCTACATGAACATTTCCGTTCCCCATAAAATGAAAAAGCAGTTTAGGTGGGGTTGTTTTTTTATTCCCAGAGTAAACATCATCTAATTCACCTCTTTGTTTTTCTTAAAATGAGGATGTCCAGTAGAACTTGAATATGTTATGGTCTAGATTTCCTTTAAATTATATGGGGTTTAAAAAGTGGAAACCATCAAAATTGACACTGATCTTACACTTAAGCACTTTTGTGGGGATTTAAATATAGTTCAGTCAGAATATTTAATTTAAACAACACATTGTTTTAGGAGAATATTTAATTTAAACAGCACATATACCCAATTGCTTTGTCTTTTACAGGCCCAGTCTTACACTGCTTGCACTATCATTGTCCATTTACTTCAGCTGAGGGTTCAGAAGATAAAGCGTCAGTGTAATTTCCTGTGTACATACTCAATTTGAAATCGATACTGTGCCATGTAGACGGATGGTTCTCCCTGTAAAAGCTACAAAGATTTACTTTGGCTTTATGCTCAGACTGTATTTTTCCAAAAGCAATTTTAATGTGTCTGCAAGATGCATGCTGATTTAATGCCAGCTTTCCAGTGCCACATGTGCAATGGTAAAAACAACTTTGACAGAAAAAGTTTTCTTTAGGATAGGTGCAAAACCCGATTTAAAGCCTTGGCTCTTCTCTGTATGGATGCAAAAAACCGAGGGAACCATCTGAAATCAGGTATTTCAGTCCCAGAAGCAATCAGTCTGAACTATGTACAGAACTCATATCACTGTGGAAAACGTTATCTCTTATCAAAACCTAAACAAACAGTTTCATTTCAATAATCTTTTTAGCAGAAGCAATTTTGCTGACTGCTACAAACTGCTTGTTTTCTTCAATATTTTGGAAGTTAGTGACTGCATCCAGTAAAAATGCATTTTCTATTCAATTGTTTGGGTACAAAATGCAAACATAAACTTGCAGGATTAATGACAGGAGTAAAGTCAAAATGTATTGCTCTAAGTTTACAAGGATTTGCATGTAGACAAACTGAAACAGCCTCCAGACTACCCTGCATCCTTTTCCTTTTAGTGCATCTTTCTTATCATAAGAAAAATAACACACTCCCATCCTCGTTGCATATTTGTACAACTACATTCCTAACTACAAAACAACTACATTCCTGTCTTTTCAACAAATAATTTCTTATTAAATTTCAAATCAGTATCATTCATTCCCCAATTTACAAATACCATAACTTATAGGATACACACTTTGAATAAATCTTTTTCTTATCAAATTTGTACTGAAAACAATGTTTTGTTTTACTAAACAATAGATGCAAAGGATGTACAGTTTCTCTATCTGAGCAATTTAAAATACGTTAGCATGGGTCATATACTTGTAAGTTTATGTTTTGACAAGTACAAGTGCACATACATAAACAGGAAAAAAAAAGGGCACACAACTGTACAAATATAAAGCAATTCATATATGCTATTGTAGTATTCCAGGTGAAATCAGAACCACAAAACCATGTATCTTAAGCTTATTTCATAACCTGAAACAAATCCCCTCCTTTCTCTTGAAGAGCAGAAGAGATCTAAATTTTTAAGTGAAAACATTTTTCTCCACACCCAGAACCATCCAGCTACTCCTGCAACATAAACCTCCATAGGCAAAGCACAGCACTGAGATCCAGGTGGCACAATTAAGCTGCAGTTGATTTATTAGCTATGATTTTAGTGACTCCCTCTAGTGGAGCTATATGGCAAGGAAAGTGCTGCTTATCATAGCCTCCCAGTTAACTTTTTGGTGAAATATTTATATTAACATTTGCTGTCATGATATTTTTCTGCTATTACTCACAACATCAAACTAACTACAGCACTATAAGTATTAGTATTCATAAAAATCACATTTTAATTTCACCCTTTTTTGTGTCTATGCTCAAAAAAAATGAATTGACTGTTTAGTGAGGAGCTACACCACCACATGACTGACGATCCAAGAAAACAATAAGGAATGCTTATAAACAAGATATGAATACTTTTTAAAAAGGAATGCAGCATGTTCATAGAAATAGAATCCTGTTACCTGACAATGCACAAACAAAGCAAAGAGAAGCTATGTTCATATCCTTATTCATTCCTTATTCAGGAAAAGAAATATTTGATCTGTGTACAATTGTACTGAATAAAGTCAGCATTTTAGGTTCTCTACGAATGGCGAACTAGACTTCAAGACCAAACAATATAGCTGTGTTTTTAACGGAGCCTAAAAGAAGCAAACCTTTTTCTGAATATATCAGCTAAAAAGCACACAACAGATCTTAACAGCAGGAAAAAATCATTTACAATAGCAAAAAGTGAAACATTTTTCAGGCTGAAGTCACAATTCCAGTCTGTATGCAGAAAGCCACTGTCTTAAGCTACAGTTATGACAGGAATACAGTCATTATCATACCAGCAAGTTTTTGATACTGAGGTATGTCTTTTGGTTTAACTTAAATTCGCATTTAAGAAAAAAAACTAAAGGTCATGATGATTATAAATATGCACAGAAATCTAGTTCCATAACAAGAGCAGAGCACTTCTGCTAAAAGAAATATCAGAGCCACAACAAAGATGACTGACCATAATTATTTCCTGTTCGGAGGGGACTTCTGGAAAGACAGAAACTCCTGTTTATTAACATAAGTCAAAGACTGTTCACATTAAGAAGCTGAAGAGAATAAAAATGTTATGATAACACCCAGTAACATATACATCTTAGCTAAGTTTGAATGTGTATAATAAAATTAAACGGCAAATTACCTGAAAAGGCTTACGAACTGCCCAAGTATCAAAATTCACAGCGCTCATATATAGCTTTTTCCATTATAAGTTCTGTTTTTATTTGGACTAATGGAACTTTGGTAAAGTATAGAATAAATGGGTTTAGCTTTTAAACAGAGATAAGCTTATTTAGAGGCTTATATGGCTGCAACCAGTGCAAATTCACAACAGGATTTAAAGGTCATTTGCAGTGAAACACAGGTTTTCTGACAATCAACCCCAACGCCTGCAGCTGTGGCACTGTGATCAAGCTAAAAACAACCCTTCTGAGAGGGCTAATGCCAGTAATTGGTTCCTTACCAGCTCTGGTCCCAATGTGGCATAAAGATGCTTAAAGGTTCTGCAGCTTCTACCCCAACTTGTAGTCAGTTCTTCTCCCAGAATGGTACTGAGGAAAGGGGTGGGAGGAGCAGGAAATTCATTATTCATAAAGAATGTCTTTCTGATTTCCTAAGTAGAAATGTATATACAGGCACCTCACTCTGAAGACTTTGGTTTGAATTTGTTTATCTCCAGCTCTGGAGATGTACCCTGAGACTTCAGTTTGTGGTAAGATCTACGCAGAGACGGTGAAATTCACTAGACATGGGTCTTGATTTGAGTGAAGAGGCCAAGATGATTTGTTTTGGACATACAAAAGAAACGAGAATTTTAAAGTGGCTTGATACTATTTATGATCCCTCAGTAATACTTTCAAATGT